TAACCAACCCCAAAAAAGCTCCCCACCAAACCACCCCAACACCGACCAAACACACAATAACCACGCAAACGAAGAGGCCAATGCAGAAAACCGCACCACACCCCCGCCCCCCTAACACAACTAAACATAACTCCCAAAGACAAAATACACACCCAGACATAACACACACACCCAAACAACGACTAAAGCCCACGTCAAATAAACGATTCCCGCTCCACCCCACACGCAGCGAAGCAAGGCTAAGACCCCAAACAGAAATAACATGATCAAAGAGGGAATAGCAACCCCAAAGAGAAAACAACACAATCAGAAATAAGAAAAAAACAACAAAAAAAAAAATCAAAAATAAAAAAGAAAAACACAAAAACAATTAAAAATACAAAAAATAGATTAAGAAATAAAAAAAAATAAAAAATAGAAATAAAAAGCCAAAAAAAATAAAAAAAAAAAAGACAAAAAAAAATAAAAAGAAAAAAAAAAAACAGTAAAAAAAAAAAAAAAAAAGATAAAAAAAAAAGAAGAAAAAAAGGAAATAATAAAAAACAAATAACAAAAACAACCCCCAGAGAACGGGTGGCGCAGAGAGAATGGAGAAACAAGCGAAAGACGACAGAGCAAACAAAACAAGAAGACACCCAACCCCACACACAAAACCGAGAGGCAGGCAGCACAACATAGAGGCACCTATCTCGAAACAAGAACAGCGCATCGCTAAAAAAGGGACCGTCGCCACTCGACCCAGATTCCGTGCGTTTACTCACAGCGGGACCAACCTGGCTATCTCCCAACCCCCACCAAACAAACCCACCCCCAACACAACCCGACCACTCCCCCCCCATCTTGTCCCCCCTATACATAGGAGATAAAACAAGAGCAGAGCCATCGGAACCACGTATATATCGCCCACCACCGTAAAAACTATCCAATCGAACACTACTCTATCCGCTACAAACCAGGCGTCCCGCTAGATAAAAAACTTCCGTGACGAAGACATACGAATCACTACAAAACGTGGATGCTCCATCAGAGCACGGGCTCCACAGAGACAATGGCAGATCGCGCTCCCCCATCAACCCTACTCACGACTACCATCACCTAGATTCCACCCCCCTCCTCTACTCGGTAACCCCCCCACCTCTATCTCTCTACCCCCCCCTCTAACCGATCCCACTACTGCCCCTACATCCCCACTCCCCTCCCCCCCTGTTCCCACTCAGTCTGCCCCTTCACTCTCCTCATCAAACACTGGCATAGACGTTGTTGACTCTCAGCACAAAGACGAAGGGCGAAGGAATCCATTCCATCAGCTCCCCCTATCGACCTTCACACACGCAACTCTCCTCAACCACTCTCACACTCTCGCCTCCCCCAACATCGCCTACATCTGCTTTTCATCCCTCCCTCCACACCCCACCCACCACTCAATACCTCTCTCCCTCTCTCACCCTCCCCTCTCTCTCTCCCCTTCCTGTTTTGCTCACAGTCACCCCTCTCTCAACTCTCACCCCTCTTCCTTCTCTATCTCCCCCTCTCTCCATCTCTCTCCCCCCCTCTCCCTCTCTCCCCTCTCTTTCTCTCTTCACCCCCTCTCCCTCTCTCCCCCCTCTCTTTCTCTCTCTCCCCCCCCCTCTTCCCCTCTCCCCTCACTCACCCCCCTCTCCCTCTCTCACCCCTCTCCTCTCTCTCCCCTCTCCCTCTCTCACCCCCTCTCCCTCTCACCACCCTCTCCCTCTCTCTCCCCCCTCTCCCTCTCTCTCCCCTCTCTTTCTCTCTCACCACCCCCTCTCCTCTCTCCCCCCTCTCTTTCTCTCTCTCCCCCCTCTCCCTCTCTCTCCCCCCTCTCCCTCTCACCCCCTCTCTCCCTTTCTCTCACCCCCCTCTCCCTCTCTCCCCCCCCTCTCCCTTTCTCTCACCCCCCACTCTCCCTCTCTCTCCCCCTCTCCTCCCTCTCCCCCCCCTCTCCCTTTCTCTCACCCCCCTCTCCCTCTCTCTCCCCCCTCTCCCTCTCTCTCCCCTCTCTTTCTCTCTCACCCCCCTCTCCCTCTCTCTCCCCCCTCTCCCTTTCTCTCACCCCCCTCTCCCTCTCTCTCTCCCCCTCTCTCCTCTCTCCCCCCCCTCTCCCTCTCTCTCACCCCCCTCCCTCTCTCCCCCCCCCTCTCCCTTTCTCTCACCCCCCTCTCCCTCTCTCCCCCCCCTCCCTCTCTCACCCCCCCTCTCCCTCTCTCTCACCCCCCTCCTCTCTCTGAGGAGTGTGGCGTCTGCTCTGATCCTGATTAAACCTGTTTACACACAAACAGCAGACAAGTGTGCCGATCTGTTATCACTTCTGATTTCACCTGCTTGATGTGGATCTGAGGCCCCCCCTCATCACCAGGCCCCCACCCTCCAGACCAATATTTCACCAGGGGCCAATGCAACTATGTGGAAAAGAAGACATTTGTGAAAGAAATAATAAAATTGTAAAACGAAAAAATATTGTTATTTTCTTTGATCATTATCTAAAAGTGATTAGATTCAAAGAAAGAGAGGCCAGAGAGAGATTAAAGAGAGAGAGAGACCAGAGAGAGACCAGAGAGAGACCAGAGAGGGACCAGAGAGAGACCAGAGAGGGACCAGAGAGAGACCAGAGAGAGACCAGAGAGGGACCAGAGAGAGACCAGAGAGGGACCAGAGAGAGACCAGAGAGAGACCAGAGGGAGACCAGAGAGGGACCAGAGAGAGACCAGAGAGGGACCAGAGAGAGACCAGAGAGAGACCAGAGGGAGACCAGAGAGGGACCAGAGAGAGACCAGAGAGAGATCAGAGAGGGACCAGAGAGAGACCAGAGAGAGACCAGAGAGGGACCAGAGAGAGACCAGAGAGAGACCAGAGAGGGACCAGAGAGAGACCAGAGAGGGACCAGAGAGAGACCAGAGAGAGACCAGAGGGAGACCAGAGAGGGACCAGAGAGAGACCAGAGAGAGATCAGAGAGGGACCAGAGAGAGACCAGAGAGAGACCAGAGAGGGACCAGAGAGAGACCAGAGAGAGACCAGAGAGAGACCAGAGTGAAACAAGGGAAAGATCAAAGAGAGAGCAGAGAGAGACCAGGGAGCGAGGGACCAGAGTGAGGCCAGAGAGAGACTAGAGCGAGAGAGACCATACAGAGAGAAGAGACCAAAGAGAGCATTTCAGACACCTGTGAAAAACTACTGAGAACATGGTTGGTATGTGCTGACAAAGAAGACTTAGTGAAAGTTTTTGTTTCTTATAAATTCTTTCCAGAAATTAGCTGAACTCGGATTACAATCTGACTTTTGACAGTTACTGTTACCTGGTCTCCACCACAGTGTGAGACTGTCGCTAAACTTTCACTTCATGATGACACCGCTTTTTCCAAACTGGTTTAAATCCTGACACACACATTACTTTGAAACAGGAGATGTGTGTGTGTGTGTGTGTGTGTCTGTGTGTGTGTCTGTGTGTGTGTCAGGGTGCTATTCTTATGCAAACACACTTCTTTCTCCTGTCTGCGTCAACCTCATCAACTCATGTAGTCCTCTCTTTTTCAATTTTCTGTCTTAAAGATGTGACAGAGGCCAGAGAGAGAAAGAGACCAGAGAGAGACCAGAGAAAGAACAGAGAGAAACCAGAGAAAGAACAGAGAGAAACCAGAGAGAGATCAGAGAGAGACCAGAGAGAGACCAGAGAGAGACCAGAGAGAGACCAGAGAGAGATCAGAGAGAGATCAGAGAGAGACCAGAGAGAGACTAGAGAGAGACCAGAGAGAAACCAGAGAGAGACCAGAGAGAGACCAGAGAGAGACTAGAGAGAGACCAGAGAGAGACTAGAGAGAGACCAGAGAGAAACCAGAGAGAGACCAGAGAGAGACCAGAGAGAGACCAGAGAGAGACCAGAGAGAGACCAGAGAGAGACCAGAGAGAGATCAGAGAGAGATCAGAGAGAGACCAGAGAGAGATCAGAGAGAGATCAGAGAGAGACCAGAGAGAGACTAGAGAGAGACCAGAGAGAAACCAGAGAGAGACCAGAGAGAGACCAGAGAGAGACTAGAGAGAGACCAGAGAGAAACCAGAGAGAGACCAGAGAGAAACCAGAGAGAGACCAGAGAGAGACCAGAGAGAGACCAGAGAGAGACTAGAGAGAGACCAGAGAGAAACCAGAGAGAGACCAGAGAGAGACCAGAGAGACCAGAGACACCACAGTTATCACAGACTTTATTTATTAGTGTTTGAGATTATTTCTTTTGAGGGGGTCCAGCAGTCTGAAGTCTGAAAGTTACCTACCCCAGCTTTAAAGTTATGTACTCCAGATTTAAGATTGGGAGACTGTGGTCAATGGTTTTACAGACTTGCTATAAAAAACAAATATAAGTTTAAATTCCTTTAGGGCTAGTTTTAAAAGGGGGCGGATCTTATCTTCCCCATCTGGTGCTGTAGCCAATCACGGGGCTATGTGAGGGTATAAGAGCTTCAGATCCAGGTTTTAAGAAAAGGTTTTAGGTCCAGAGCGGATCCACCATGGCTGCAGACACACACACACTCCCCCAGGACGAGCTGCCCTCCCTGGACCTCGACCAGTCGGACTTCAGCCTCTACAGCCCCCACCCTCTGGAGCCCTGGACCAAGACAGGTGAGACCCTGTTTGTGCTTTAACAGCAGAGGGTTAGCAGAGAGACCAGAGAGAGAGACCAGAGAGAGAGACCAGAGAGAGAGAGACCAGAGAGAGAGAGACCAGAGAGAGATACCAGAGAGAGATACCAGAGAGAGAGAGACCAGAGAGAGAGACCAGAGAGAGAGACCAGAGAGAGATACCAGAGAGAGACAGGACAGAAAGGGACCAGAGAGGGAACAAAAAGAGAGAGAGAGACCAGAGAGAGAGACCAGCGAGAGAGAGACCAGCGAGAGAGAGACCAGAGAGAGAGACCAGAGAGAGAGACCAGAGAGAGAGACCAGAGAGAGATACCAGAGAGAGACAGGACAGAAAGGGACCAGAGTGGGAACAAAAAGAGAGAGAGAGACCAGAGAGAGAGACCAGAGAGAGAGACCAGAGAATAGTAGTAATCAACAGTAGTATGGAATCTTCCACAGGAAATGTTGAGTTTACTTTAGAACACAACAATTGTTTACTTTAAATGTACTATAGTGTATTTAAAAAAGTGTGTGTACAATCAGAATGATGGTGTATGTTGAGTGTATGAGTCTGGTGTGTGTGAATGGTTGGTGGTGGTGGGAGGGGCTGATGGCACAGATGCACAGTCAGTGTGCTGCAGGGCAGCTGCGGCAGCAGTAGTTTATCACCAACTTGTACAGAGTGAGAGTATAATGCTGAGAAGTGTCTTTTTCCAGAAAGCGCTGTACACAACCCAGGGCTTATGTTAAGTGATCACACTCACTATTCTTAGTGTCAAATATCTGACCAATCAGCTGCCTTCTAACCTTTGACCGGTCCTCTCTAACTGTACTGTGGGGGCGTATTAGTTGGTTTCACTCACGGTTTAATTATGTTTGTGTTTTTTGTCCTCAGGGTGTCTTCCTCTGGACCAGGGGGCGTGTCCTCCTCTGGACCAGGGGGCGTGGCCTGTGGAGCAGCAGGGTGCAGGGCCAGTGGAGCAGTCGGGGGCGTGGCCTGTAGAGCAGCAGGATGCAGGGCCAGTGGAGCAGTCGGGGGCGTGGCCTGTAGAGCAGCAGGATGCAGGGCCAGTGGAGCAGTCGGGGGCGTGGCCTGTAGAGCAGCAGGATGCAGGGCCAGTGGAGCAGTCGGGGGCGTGGCCTGTGGAGCAGCAGGATGTAGGGCCAGTGGAGCAGCCGGGGGCGTGGCCTGTGGCGCAGCAGACGTGGGCGTGGCCTTGGGGAGCCTGGGCTCTCGGGGGGTGGCCTTGGCCGGAGCCCGCATTTGGTCATGTGCGACCTCCGTACTCGTACTCTGCACTCATCGCCATGGCGATCCAGTCGTCTCCGGAGCGACGGCTGACGCTGAGTCAGATCTACGCGTACGTGAGCGAGCACTTCCCGTTCTACAGCCGCCGTTCAGGCTCAGTTTCAAGTTCAGGTTCAGGTTCAGGTTGGCAGAACTCCATCCGCCACAACCTGTCACTCAACGACTGCTTCAGGAAGGTGCCGCGGAACGCCAGCGACCCGGGTGAGTGACAAGACCTCTTCTTTCCCTATTGGCTGTGGTGTTTTCTGGCTTGGTCTCTTATTGGCTGTGGTGTTTTCTGACCTGGCTTCCTATTGGCTGTGGTGTTTTCTGGCCTGGTCTCCTATTGGCTGTGTTTTCTGACCTGGATTCCTATTGGTTGTCTCCTCAGGTAAAGGGAACTACTGGACACTGGACCCAAACTGCGACAAAATGTTCGACAACGGAAACTTCCGTCGCAAACGCAAGAGGAAGTCTGACAGCGCTATTGCTACGGACAGCGCTAAAGCTACAAACAGCAACAAAGTTACAAACAGTGCTAATGGTACAAACAGTGCTAATGGTACAAACAGTGCTAATGGTACAGACAGTGCTAATGCTACCGACAGCAATAACTCTTTGATCAGCATTATCTCGACAAACGCTAGCTCTTCCTATGCTAACCCCCACAGTCCCTGCGGAGTCGAGCGCCCCCTGGTGGCCTCCTCGGAGACGTTCTGCCACTCGTCTTCTTCGTGGAATTTCCCGCCGCAGTCTCCACCCCCCTCGCTCTTCTTCTCCTCCCCACAGCAGTATTTCTCTACAGTTTCGGACGTTTGGGAGGTTGATGGTGCGACTCCTGACGTCTCCAGTCCTGCCGTGGTGCCGTTGAGCCTGTCGTACTCTGAGCTGAGCTGCAGCGAATTCCCGCTCACGCAGCAGGTCTACGCCGAGGCGTCCCCACACTCTGCTTTTTGTTATTGACGTAACTTTTTAAATTATTTAAATTAAATTATAAATGAAGAAAAAATGGTATTCCATTACTTGCTTCGACTACTGCAACTACTACTGCTACTACTACTGCTACTACAACTACTACTGCTTTGCTTTGACCATATTTGGATCGTTGTACTATTTATTTGATTTATAAAAAATGGTAATAATTATTTTACTATTTATTATTTTAATAGTATTTATTTTGTCTTTACGTGTTTTATTTGTATTTCTGTTTGTTTACTGATTTACTAAGTTTGTGTTTGAAAATGTTGAATAAAATGTGAATCTGAAAACCAGAATATAAAGAATGTTTTTTTTTTGAGGAAACACACACATACACAGACAACCATGCAAACATAGAGTACATACACCCACAGAGACATACACTCCTACACACACACTCAGTGGTATGTGATGTCACACACTCAGCGATATGTATGGGCGGCATGGTGGCTGAGTGGATAGCATTCTCGCCTCTCAGCAAGAAGGTCCTGGGTTCGAATCCCGGTCGGACCAGGGCCTTTCTGAGTGGAGTTGTCTACGCAGACACTCCCCGTGTCTGCGTAGGTTTCCTCCGGGTACTCCGGTTTCCCCTACCACTAAAAATATGTCCAATAGGCATGTCTGGCATGCGCTTCCTGTACTGGCGACCCCGCTCCCATCTCTGTGTGGAGTGAGAGACAAATGCCCATAATTAACAATTGTAAACCGCTTTGAGACCCAGATCTGCAGTGAAAAGGTGGTATATAAATAAAGATTACTTCCTATGTGACGTCACACACTCAGTGGCAGACGCACACATTCCGGAGATGTTTGAGACAGATACTGTTTCAGGTCCGACAGGTAAGTTGTCACATGACCAGCTCTGGACCAATCAGAGCGCAACAGCCGTCTGAGAACTAAGCTACGGCAGGTGAGAGACGAGTCCTGATTATTATGCTATCTTTGTATCAAAGTAAGTGCGGAGTGTAGTAGTAGTAGTATTAGTAATAGTTGTTGTAGTTGTAGTTGTAATGATAGTAGTAGATGTAGTTGGGGTGGTAGTGGAGTAGTATTAGTAGTAGTAGCAATAGGGGTTCGATTCTACCTCCAGTCCTTTCTGTCTGGAGTTTGCATGTTCTCCCTATGTCCGTATAGGTATCCTCCAGGTGCTCCAGTTTTCCCTACCACTAAAAGAGTTACAATAGGTCTGACATGCGCCTCTTGTAGATGACACTTCTCATCTCTGAGTGGAGTGAGAGACAAACGGCCACAACAATAGTAAAGCTCTCTGTGAAAGGCACTATATAAATAAATATTACTTTACTACTTACTTAGAACCCAAAGACCAGACGGTCCAGATGAGCGTGGTCCGTGTCCAGCCCCAGTCCCAGGTCTTCAGGGACGACGCAGCCCAGTGGTCCACTGGTCTGTGCTTCTGCTGCAGAGACTGTGGCCAGTGTGAGTGACTCCAAACCCCCTTCTCTGAGCTCAGACCTGATCAAGACCTGGTTCAGACTCTCTCTGGTCTCTATCTCTGGGCTTTCAGTCCTGGGATCTCCCCACAGGTTGCTGGTCTCTATCTCTGGTCTCTTTCTGCTCTCTCTCCTGGTGTCTCTCCACAAGTAGCTGGTCTCTCCTGGTTCCGTCCTGGTGTCTCTCCAAAGGTAGCTGGTCTCTCCTGGTTCAGTCCTGGTGTCTCTTCACAGGTGGTCTCTCCTGGTTCAGTCCTTGTGTCTCTCCACAGGTTGCTGGTCTCTCTGGTGCTTTCCTTGTATCTCCTGTTGGACCGTGAGGCGTATGGAACAGTGTCTCTGTCTCCCCCTGCTGGACACTTTCTCTGCCTGCTGCTGCATCCACCCCATCGCCATGACGACCCGAGCCACCACCAGGGAGCGCTACGGAATCCAGGTAAGCTCTGCGTCCACAGGTGTTCCTCAGGGGTCAGTACTCAGACCAGTCCCCTTTATTCAACGACCGGGTACAACAGTTGGCGTGTTGTTTGGACCTGTGTCGGTGTTCTGTCGACATGGTCTGACCGTCGAACGGGTTGATGTATATTCCCGTCTATTTATTTAGGCTTTGTGTGTTTGTTAATGTACAGGAACACTGTCATATGATGAATCTTTACAGCAACAAAGGACAGTTTTATTGTTGGTAACGTTACACAGTCTTTATCAGCTGCAGTTAGTTTCCCTGTATGTAGAATTTTAAAAAATGTAAACAAATATTTGGATTGAACACGTCATTTAAATTACATGCAAGACCCGAAAAACGGGCAGAACATCTTTTTTTTTTTATTGGCATATACAATATATTACAGCACAGACATTATAGACCCATTTGTACATTTAGACATGAACCTACATAAACATATAAGCATTTACATAGGGTCAGGAGGGGGGACGGAGGGGGGACAGGGGGGGATTCAGCGTGCGCGAGCGTGTGTGTGTGTGTGTATGTGCGTGTTCACTTTTGGTGTATTGAATAGGTATCTGAGGGTGTTGAAGATTTTCTTTTATTGACCGGTAGTGAGAGAGGGGAGAAAGAAAAGAGAGAGACTAATAATAATAGTAATACTAATAATAATAATAATAATAATAGTAAAAACATAGGACGAGTTGAGGTGCTATAATCCAAGGGAGGGGGGATTATAGAGTGGGTGGTTATAATGTTAGTGAAGAGGGTAGCAGAGCCATAACTAGGCATATTAATGTTTTTGGTATGAACGTAAGTAATCTTTATCCAATCAATCAATTTTGAGCCTTAGTCTTCTCATTCACACAGAGATGGGAGCGGGCAGAACATCTTAACAGAACACCGGCTCTTCATCACTATAAAAAAGTACCCAAGACCACTGAGAGACAATAACGACCAGAGAGAGGTTAGAGAGAGGCCTGATGCCGCGTTCAGACCGGATCATGCGTTGCGTCGACTTTCAATGCAAAGTCAACGGTGACATACGTTCGAGCGTCAAAATGCATGTGCGTCTCAGGATCCACGCACGGACTGCACAGGAGGAGCAGGAGCGGAAAAACGACGCACACAGGAGATACATTTTGCTGAGCGTTTCCTCGGACGCCCGTGCATCGACCAATCAGAGAGCAGCAAAGTGGTCACAGGGACAATAGCGGTCTGATCGAGCAGACTGAACATACAGTAAACAGGCAAAACAGGACCCACACCAGGACTAAACCAGGGTTGACAATGGGGGACTCTGTGCTTGTGAACATGTGCGTTGTCATGCTCTCGTGACTTTACGCAACTGCTTCGAGTGTGTTCGCCGATGCGGAAATACCGTTTAATAATATGAATAAACGTATGGCGCACCTCCGTGAACACATACTACTGTTATATAAAGTTTGTGAAGGTCTCTGGACACAGAGACGCTGCAAAGCTGCATTATTGGAGAAGAACTTTACACAAAAAAGCCGCTAGCTTAACTCCGTTAGCATCAAAGTCCGCCCGCTACTTCTGCCACTTCCGGCGGGCGCCACCGCAGCAGGACTTTTGCTCTGAAGGCGTCAGCGTTTTAGCATTGGCGGTGTGATGAGAGAGACCAGAGAGAGACCAGAGAGAGACCAGAGAGAGACCAGAGAGAGACCAGAGAGAGACCAGAGAGAGACCAGAGAGAGACCAGAGAGAGACCAGAGAGAGACCAGAGAGAGACCAGAGAGAGACCAGAGAGAGACCAGAGAGAGACCAGAGAGAGATCAGAGAGACCAGAGAGGGACCAGAGAGGGACCAGAGAGAGACCAGAGAGAGACCAGAGAGAGAGACCAGAGAGAGTCCAGAGAGAGACCAGAGAGAGACCAGAGAGAGACCAGAGAGAGACCAGAGAGAGACCAGAGAGAGACCAGAGAGAGACCAGAGAGAGACCAGAGAGAGACCAGAGAGAGACCAGAGAGAGACCAGAGAGAGAGACCAGAGAGAGTCCAGAGAGAGACCAGAGAGAGACCAGAGAGAGACCAGAGAGAGACCAGAGAGAGACCAGAGAGAGACCAGAGAGAGAGACCAGAGAGAGTCCAGAGAGAGACCAGAGAGAGACCAGAGAGAGACCAGAGAGAGACCAGAGAGAGAGACCAGAGAGAGACCAGAGAGAGACCAGAGAGAGACCAGAGAGAGACCAGAGAGAGACCAGAGAGAGACCAGAGAGAGGCCAGAGAGAGACCAGAGAGAGACCAGAGAGAGAGACCAGAGAGAGACCAGAGAGAGGCCAGAGAGAGACCAGAGAGAGACCAGAGAGAGACCAGAGAGAGACCAGAGAGAGACCAGAGAGAGAGACCAGAGAGAGACCAGAGAGAGACCAGAGAGAGACCAGAGAGAGACCAGAGAGAGACCAGAGAGAGACCAGAGAGAGAGACCAGAGAGACACCAGAGAGAGACCAGAGAGAGACACCAGAGAGAGACCAGAGAGAGACCAGAGAGAGACCAGAGAGAGGCCAGAGAGAGACCAGAGAGAGACCAGAGAGAGACCAGAGAGAGAGACCAGAGAGAGACCAGAGAGAGACCAGAGAGAGACCAGAGAGAGACCAGAGAGAGACCAGAGAGAGACCAGAGAGAGACCAGAGAGAGACCAGAGAGGGGCCAGAGAGAGACCAGAGAGAGAGACCAGAGAGAGAGAGACCAGAGAGAGACCAGAGAGAGACCAGAGAGAGACCAGAGAGAGGCCAGAGAGAGACCAGAGAGAGACCAGAGAGAGGCCAGAGAGAGACCAGAGAGAGAGACCAGAGAGAGAGACCAGAGAGAGACCAGAGAGAGGCCAGAGAGAGACCAGAGAGAGAGACCAGAGAGAGACCAGAGAGAGAGACCAGAGAGAGACCAGAGAGAGACCAGAGAGAGACCAGAGAGAGGCCAGAGAGAGACCAGAGAGAGACCAGAGAGAGAGACCAGAAAGAGAGACCAGAGAGAGACCAGAGAGAGGCCAGAGAGAGGCCAGAGAGAGACCAGAGAGAGAGACCAGAGAGAGACCAGAGAGAGGCCAGAGAGAGGCCAGAGAGAGAGACCAGAGAGAGACCAGAGAGAGACCAGAGAGAGACCAGAGAGAGAGACCAGAGAGAGACCAGAGAGAGGCCAGAGAGAGACCAGAGAGAGACACCAGAGAGAGACCAGAGAGAGACACCAGAGAGAGACCAGAGAGAGACCAGAGAGAGACCAGATAGAGACACCAGAGAGAGAGACCAGAGAGAGACCAGAGAGAGGCCAGAGAGAGACCAGATAGAGACACCAGAGAGAGACACCAGAGAGAGACCAGAGAGAGGCCAGAGAGAGACCAGATAGAGACACCAGAGAGAGAGACCAGAGAGAGACCAGAGAGAGGCCAGAGAGAGACCAGATAGAGACACCAGAGAGAGAGACCAGAGAGAGACCAGAGAGAGAGACCAGAGAGAGACCAGAGAGAGGCCAGAGAGAGACCAGAGAGAGACACCAGAGAGAGACCAGAGAGAGACACCAGAGAGAGACCAGAGAGAGACCAGAGAGAGACCAGAGAGAGGCCAGAGAGAGACCAGAGAGAGAGACCAGAGAGAGAGACCAGAGAGAGAGACCAGAGAGAGACCAGAGTGAGACCAGAGTGAGACCAGAGTGAGACCAGAGTGAGAGACCACAGAGAGACCAGAGAGAGGCCAGAGAGAGAGACCAGAGAGAGACCAGAGTGAGACCAGAGTGAGACCAGAGAGAGACCAGAGAGAGACCAGAGAGAGACCAGAGAGAGAGACCAGAGAGAGAGACCAGAGAGAGACCAGAGTGAGACCAGAGTGAGACCAGAGTGAGACCAGAGAGAGACCAGAGAGAGACCAGAGAGAGACCAGAGAGAGGCCAGAGAGAGGCCAGAGAGAGACCAGAGAGAGACCAGAGAGAGACCAGAGAGAGACCAGAGAGAGGCCAGAGAGAGACCAGAGTGAGACCAGAGAGAGACCAGAGAGACAGAGAGAGACCAGAGAGAGACCAGAGAGAGACCAGAGAGAGAGACCAGAGAGAGACCAGAGTGAGACCAGAGTGAGACCAGAGTGAGACCAGAGTGAGACCAGAGAGACACCAGAGAGAGACCAGAGAGAGAGACCAGAGAGAGAGACCAGAGAGAGACCAGAGTGAGACCAGAGTGAGACCAGAGAGAGACCAGAGTGAAACCAGAGTGAGACCAGAGTGAGACCAGAGTGAGACCAGAGTGAGACCAGAGAGAGACCAGAGAGAGGCCAGAGAGAGGCCAGAGAGAGACCAGAGAGAGACCAGAGAGAGACCAGAGAGAGACCAGAGAGAGGCCAGAGAGAGACCAGAGTGAGACCAGAGAGAGACCAGAGAGAGACCAGAGAGAGACCAGAGAGAGACCAGAGAGAGGCCAGAGAGAGGCCAGAGAGAGACCAGAGAGAGACCAGAGAGAGACCAGAGAGAGACCAGAGAGAGACCAGAGAGAGACCAGAGAGAGACCAGAGAGAGAGACCAAAAAGAGACCAGAAAGAGACCAGAGAGAGACCAGAGAGAGACCACAGAGAGACCACAGAGAGCGTCTCCTCAGTGGGAGTGAGGTTCCTCATCTCTTGTGTTCCAGGGCTCGTTCTGTGGGGACTGCCTGCTCTCCACCTGCTGCTGCTGCTGTGTTTACTGTCAGCTCTACAGAGAGCTGGATCATCGGCAGTTACCCAGCATGCTCAGCGACATCGTGCAGAGGAAGTGATGTCATCGGGATCCAGCACCGTTGACAAAACCGTTTTACATTATATCATGTGAAGAAATATTGAAAATACAAAGAAAAATACTTGTTTTTATCCTCGATATGATACAGAGAATATTGACTTGAGAAGGTGAAATAATATAATATGAAGGTCTGCTCCCTGTAACTCCCTGTGCGACCACCAGAGGGAGGAGCTGTGATTGTAAAGATCATTTGGACCTGAGAAATGACCAAAAGAAATTTATGGGCAATACTTTTGTTTTGAAGTGAGAAAACTGCTCCACATGCGATGCCACAGTGGTCTCTCTGGTTTCTCTTTCTAGTCTCCCTTTGGTCGGTGGTTAGCATTTTCCATCTATAGTCTGAAGGTTGGATCTCTGACCTTAGAGCATGAGTTACTGTCTGAGCAGCAGTGGGACCATTATGCACTTTATCCTGAAGTATGTGATTTTCATATTTTGTCCTTTGTCTATTTATACACTTGTGTCTGTGGATCCCAGTTCAGTGAGAACTCATACCCTGCGGTACACTTTCAGCAGACATTAGTAAGTGTTCATAAATGCTGTGACTCCCCATTATCTTGGTATTTCGTCCCACTGCGAGTGGATGTTGTGCGTTGACTGAATCACCAGTGTTAGCCTTTAATGAGAAAGATGCCAATTTCCTTATATGGACATTTGTTCACACAGCATAAGCTTTTTGGAGCAAGTTGAAGTTGATCTGATCAGGTCAATCTATATCTGGATTTACAACAATATCACAATAAACACCAGGTTCAATTTTCCTCTCTGGTCTATTTCTCTGGAAGCCCAAAACAGTGTGTGACAAACAATGAGCTAGGAGTTTACTTTAACATGCAAGTCAATATGAGCCAAACTCCACCATGAGCACTTCCCTATTGGGCTTCACTGAGAGTTTGCATTGTCCATCTGTCTATAACGTCATCCCTCACTTTAACCCGTTTGACTCTTCAGTCCAGGACGAAATACCGAGATTTTAGTGTCTGTAAATGTACTGCTTGATTTTGAATGAACCAGTTTTACTTTTGGGACAATAAAGATGATAAAAGTTACATTAGAAAATAATCACACTTGTCTCGTATTCATTTATTTACAAAACTCACGCAGTCTTTTCATAACAATACAGATTCATTAAAAAAGGCAAAATTAAAACAGCAAAAAGATAACTGTATGAGCCACGTTCTGTTGAGCTTTAGTTAGTTACACAACCATCTTTGGGCAATAACCCACGACAAACATCAACTTAAAGCTGGGGTACGTAACTTTGGTCTCATAAACATATGTAGTTTGAACCGAGAGAATCTTAAAAGTAAAATGTTGAGAACAAATCTGACAACATGCCGTCTTCATCTCATTAGAACATGTTATATTTTGAGTCAGAAAGAACCCCATGAGTTACTATTTGAGCTGAGAGGGTTCTCTTTCACTTTTTTTGTCTTAAAATAGCTGATCGAAAGACATCAGAAATACATGTGAAAAAACATATGATAGACATGGAAGTCAGGGGCCCCAGCTTTAACACACACCTGCTTGGGTTTTGGGGTTGATCTACAGGGGCTTGGGCAGCGGGGTCACCTACTGCTCCCAATAGTCTTCTTGTGGGGTCTCTCTCTCTGGCCTCCTGGGGTCTCTCTCTCCCTCTGGCCTAGGTCTCAGTCTACAAGGGCTTGGGCAGTGTGGACACCTCCTCGAACACCTCGTCGTACTGCTCCTGATAGTCCTCATGAGGCTTTATGAGGATCACACACGTGGGACGTTTGGATCCAGCAGAAGATCCCAGGTCCTGAAACAGATGGAACCAGAGTGAGACCAGAGTGAGACCCGAGAGAGAGACCAGAGAGAGACCCGAGCGAGAGACCCGAGAGAGAGACCAGAGAGAGAGACCAGAGAGAGAGACCAGAGAGAGACCCGAGAGAGAGACCCGAGAGAGAGACCCGAGAGAGAGACCCGAGAGAGAGACCCGAGAGAGACCCGAGAGAGAGACCCGAGAGAGAGACCTGAGTAACTGGATCCCATTGAAAGACGCATTTAACTCTGGGCGGTCATTTTGATTAACTCATTGTCTGCTATTGAAGGATTAATCCGCATGTCTGGGGTTTGGCTGTAGACCAGGGGTGTCACACCGGTTCTAGAAAGGGCCGCTATGGCTGCAGGTTTTAGTTCCAGCCTGAGCAGGAACACACCAGACACACGGCCCTTTGATGACCAGTGCGACACCCTCCTGAGCCGGCACGAGTAAAACAGACAGGAGCAGGCCTTAGTCAGTGACAGTTTGAGTAGTAAACGGCCACAGAAAATAGACTATTGCTAATACTATCCCTGAGCCATTGTCACAGCACTATAGAAAATGACAATGATGTAACCACACACACACACACACACGTAACCACACACACACACACACACGTAACCACACACACACACGCTCACCATCTTGGAGGGGATGTAGGCGTATGGCAGGCTGCGGTCCTCACACATCACGGGAAGGTGACAGTAGACTTCGATCGGTAACGTGTCTCCAGCCAAAACTACGATTCTGATGGAACAAAACAGGTCAAACATACAGCCCCAGTCCCGGGTCTACAGCCCCAGTCCCGGGTCTACAGCCCCAGTCCCGGGTCTACAGCCCCAGTCCCGGGTCTACAGCCCCAGTCCCGGGTCTACAGCCTCAGTCCCGGGTCTACAGCCCCAGTCCCGGGTCTACAGCCTCAGTCCCGGGTCTACAGCCTCAGTCCCGGGTCTACAGCCTCAGTCCCGGGTCTACAGCCTCAGTCCCGGGTCTACAGCCTCAGTCCCGGGTCTACAGCCTCAGTCCCGGGTCTACAGCCTCAGTCCCGGGTCTACAGCCTCAGTCCCGGGTCTACAGCCTCAGTCCCGGGTCTACAGCAGGGGTGGATTTTACATTATGAAGGTCTTTTGACATCGATGGTAAGGAATGTGACATGAGTTTCACTATTTTCAGGTATTTTTTTCTGAAAACAAAATGTGTCAAGATTTAACCAAAACTTAACACTTTGTTTTATGTTTAACTACTTAACATTTGTACATGCCTTTGTAGCCTATAGCCGTCAATGCTCCAAGCTTATAATTGAAAAATACTTTAAATTATGGAAAAAATGTGCACTACATTTTTTATTGGGTGAGGGTTTGTGGATGGTTCTTTTCTGATGCAGGAGGATCTTAAAACATTTATTACCATCTCTGCAGTGTTAATCCCACTCCCTATGGACCCATGGATCTTATGAGTTTGTTATTATTGCTTATTGTTTGATTCTCTGATCTGCTGTTGGTGAATTCACAACTTTATAAAGTCACATCATGGCTGACGTAGGGTCAGGGTACTCTCTCGTGGTCTCACCCTTTCTCTCCTTTGTTGATGAACTTCTGAACTTCTTTGACGCCACGACGAATGTGCTTCACTTTAGACGCTGCAAACAAAACAGGACAAAGTCAGGACTAAACTAACAGCAACCGTAGAGCACCAACCTCCACCGAGAGGCGCAGCTCATTACAAATAATCCTGGGTTTAGACTAGGGGCAACTTTGGGCATGATCCGGATGATGCCAAAAGTTAATCATTTTTGTCCTATTCCTGATAAATTAATGTCATAATCTGCACATTACTTTGAGTTCATTCAAAGAACAATGAAACCTCCAGCTTTGGGTATAACCAAAAGGACGATATCGAAAATGGATGAAAACATAAGATGCCAGTCCTTAAGATCCTACATTAAAAGCTTTGACTCACATTAATTAATATTTTACCTAAATTGTGCAGCAGAAGTCTGAACCAGGACTGAACCACACTCTCCAACACATGCTACACGACTTTTAAAGGATTATTACATTTATGACTCCTAATATTAACTTTATTTTGGGAATTGTGTCCTCTGCATTTGACCCATCAATCATGGCCGCTCGGGGCTCTGTCAGGAGCAGTGGTTGCCGCAGTAACAGGGACCCATCTCCAAATGTTGATGCTCTCTGTCAGAACCAGAGCTGGAGGACTTCTGCATATTGTACATGTTTATTGAAATAGGGGAAGCCGGAGCACCTGGAGGAAACCTACGCAGACACTGGGACAACGAACTCCACTCAGAAAGACCCTGTTCCGATCGGGATTCGCACCCAGGACCTTCTAGCTGAGAAGCGTGAGTGCTAATCACTCAAACACTTGTGAAACTTGCCTTCTTCACACACGTGTAGAGCTTACCCTTCACACACGTGTAGAGCTTACCCTTCACACACGTGTAGAGCTTACCCTTCTTCACACACGTGTAGAGCTTACCCTTCTTCACACACGTGTAGAGCTTACCCTTCTTCACACACGTGTAGAGCTTACCCTTCTTCACGCACGTGTAGAGCTTACCCTTCACGCACGTGTAGAGCTTACCCTTCACGCACGTGTAGAGCTTACCCTTCACGCACGTGTAGAGCTTACCCTTCACGCACGTGTAGAGCTTACCCTTCACGCACGTGTAGAGCTTACCCTTCACGCACGTGTAGAGCTTACCCTTCACACACGTGTAGAGCTTACCCTTCACACACGTGTAGAGCTTACCCTTCACACACGTGTAGAGCTTACCCTTCACACACGTGTAGAGCTTACCCTTCACACACGTGTAGAGCTTACCCTTCACACACGTGTAGAGCTTACCCTTCACACACGTGTAGAGCTTACCCTTCACACACGTGTAGAGCTTACCCTTCACACACGTGTAGAGCTTACCCTTCACACACGTGTAGAGCTTACCCTTCACACACGTGTAGAGCTTACCCTTCACACACGTGTAGAGCTTACCCTTCACACACGTGTAGAGCTTACCCTTCACACACGTGTAGAGCTTACCCTTCACACACGTGTAGAGCTTACCCTTCACACACGTGTAGAGCTTACCCTTCACACACGTGTAGAGCTTACCCTTCACACACGTGTAGAGCTTACCCTTCTTCACACACGTGTAGAGCTTACCCTTCTTCACACACGTGTAGAGCTTACCCTTCTTCACGCACGTGTAGAGCTTACCCTTCTTCACACACGTGTAGAGCTTACCCTTCTTCACGCACGTGTAGAGCTTACCCTTCTTCACACACGTGTAGAGCTTACCCTTCTTCACGCACGTGTAGAGCTTACCCTTCTTCACACACGTGTAGAGCTTACCCTTCTTCACACACGTGTAGAGCTTACCCTTCTTCACACACGTGTAGAGCTTACCCTTCTTCACACACGTGTAGAGCTTACCCTTCTTCACACACGTGTAGAGCTTACCCTTCTTCACACACGTGTAGAGCTTACCCTTCTTCACGCACTTGTAGAGCTTCTTGCTGAGTTTCTTGGACGCGAGCGGCTGGGCGACGGGGTTGACGTGTGCGATCAGATCACTGTAGCTCCTCTCCACGGCTGCAGCGCTGTCCTCCTCCACGACCTCCTCCTTCTTCGCTTTCTCCTTCTTCTGCTTCGTCATTTCGAGTAAACGCGGCGATGGATTCTGGAGTCTGCGGGTCTGCGGGTGTGCAGCAGGACACGCAGGAAGTAAGCCACAAACACACGTGGGGATGAGAGGAAGTAGTTCCTCGGGCAAAAACAGTACATTTATGTCCGACACAAAGTAGACTACCGCTGGTAAAATATCAAATGTATTTATAATTGACTGTGTAACTCATACACACAAGAATATTATATATTATGTGTATTGTAATTGTTATTATTTTGGTTAAGAGTGGTGTGCAGAAGAGGTGTGGCGCAGTTCTGTGTTTGGGAAAAAATGACACCAGCGTGAACTCAGCACAGCGACACTATGCGGACAGATAGAGAACTACAATTTGTTGAGAATAAATACATTTCTTTGATTATTAGAACAACATTTCAGATACATCGATATATTCTTGTTGTTCATGTCTGTGTTTGAATCCCATAGGACGGATGAGACTTTCTCACAACACAAGACTGATTTCAGTTTGTCCATACACACAGTAGATAATGTAGGATAATAGTCCACTCAAATACTTAGGACTTGAGGGCAAGAAAAAGCAAAGAAAAGACCAGGGTCTCCTCCCAGTGGGACATGCTCTGAACACCTCCTCAGGGAGACGTGCAGGAGGCCTCTGAAAGAGATGAGCCACTTCAACTGGCTCCTCTTGACATGGAGAAGCAGCGGCTCTACTCTGAGCTCCTCCCAACGAGTGACTGAGCTCCTCGCACTCTCTTGGGGAGGGACGCAGAGGAAACTCATTTCCACCACCTGTATCTGTGATCTCGTCCCCTCTGTCATTACCCAAAGCTCATGACCAGAGGTTGTTCACGAGAGGCTCACTCGTGAACAAGACCCCGAGATTCTTGAACTCCTCCACTGGAGGAAGGACCTCTGCTCTGACGGAGCTGTCCATGGTATCAACTACAACACTACTGCACTGAAGCACCACCAGAGACCACCCTGATCCTAATGAGCTGAATGAACTCGTTTTCATTACAGGAACTCAAGCTCAGTGTTGGAAAAGTCATGGTCCTCTACAACTACAATGACTGTTGTACTTCCAGCTCCAGCCACATATAGTCCAAAGAACACACATCCACATATTTGTAAGTCAATATCTGAGATGCAGAATGTTCAGTCTGTATCTGCACATTAGAATGTAAGAGACACCAAACTTGTTTTTGACCAAATGTAGGATCTATTCTTGTGAGAGTGACCTGTGGATCAGAGGAAGAGAGGAACCTGCCACAAAGAGACCAGACTCATCCCAAGTGAGAGGCCTTCAGTCTGTGTCCTGCTGCTCTTCTCAAAACACTCTTACAACACTTTGCTTTTGTTCAGGAAAGAAACCTGAGAGAGGTCTCCAGAAAACTGAGGATTTACAACAAGATGAACAGAATCATTCTCCTGTTTCACTCTGAAGCTGCAGGCTGTTGTAGTGAAGAGGGAGCAGCGTCTACAGTCAGAGCTGTATCAGACTGTCGTGGTGAAGAGGGAGCAGCGTCTACAGTCAGAGCTGTATCAGACTGTTGTAGTGAAGAGGGAGCAGCGTCTACAGTCAGAGCTCTATCAGGCTGTTGTAGTGAAGAGGGAGCAGCGTCTACAGTCAGAGCTCTATCAGACTGTTGTAGTGAAGAGGGAGCAGCGTCTACAGTCAGAGCTCTATCAGACTGTTGTAGTGAAGAGGGAGCAGCGTCTACAGTCAGAGCTCTATCAGACTGTTGTAGTGAAGAGGGAGCAGCGTCCACAGTCAGAGCTCTATCAGGCTGTTGTAGTGAAGAGGGAGCAGCGTCTACAGTCAGAGCTCTATCAGACTGTTGTAGTGAAGAGGGAGCAGCGTCTGCAGTCAGAGCTCTATCAGGCTGTTGTAGTGAAGAGGGAGCAGCGTCTGCAGTCAGAGCTCTATAAGACTGTTGTAGTGAAGAGGGAGCAGCGTCTGCAGTCAGAGCTCTATCAGACTGTTGTAGTGAAGAGGGAGCAGCGTCTGCAGTCAGAGCTCTATCAGGCTGTTGTAGTGAAGAGGGAGCAGCGTCTACAGTCAGAGCTCTATCAGACTGTTGTAGTGAAGAGGGAGCAGCGTCTGCAGTCAGAGCTCTATCAGGCTGTTGTAGTGAAGAGGGAGCAGCGTCTGCAGTCAGAGCTCTATCAGGCTGTTGTAGTGAAGAGGGAGCAGCGTCTGCAGTCAGAGTTCTATCATACTGTTGTAGTGAAGAGGGAGCAGCGTCTGCAGTCAGAGTTCTATCATACTGTTGTAGAGAAGAGGGAGCAGCGTCTGCAGTCAGAGCTCTATCCGACTGTTGTAGTGAAGAGGGAGCAGCGTCTGCAGTCAGAGCTCTATCAGACTGTTGTAGTGAAGAGGGAGCAGCGTCTACAGTGAAATGGCTCAAATTTAGCTCTGACTGGAGCCGCTGCTCCTTCACGTAAAGAAGAAGCGTTTGAGGTGATGAGAGGAGGTTCTGTTGCATTCTCCAACCAGCGACAATACGCTCAATGTTCTTTTCCACTGGTCCTTTGTCGTCAGAAGCAGATGTTTAAAGATGCAGAACCCAGAGCCAGGAGCACGTGGCCTTGGACCTGTAAGATGTTCTCCAGTGCCTTTTCATCTGGCAGACTATGATGTGAGTGGAGCAGGGGCCCAGAGCCAGTTTCAGAAGACACCCGGAGCAGTGGGGCCCCCACCAGCTCAGCACCACAGACAGCTCACCCCCTGCACCTGACCACAGCCCACAGTTCACAGTGTAGATAAGACCAGAGCCATGTCTGCTGAGAGCCGCCGGAACTAGGACAAGCTCCAACAGAGGTGAGAGTAAAGTACCTCCAGCAAATCTGTGTGAGGATTTACAACAAGATTTCAACAACACCATTCTTCTGTTTTCTTGTGACTGCAGGCGCTGAGGAGCAGTTGGACCTAACGGAGAAACTGTGACCAAAACAAATGTGAGAGCGTCTGACGTCAAACTCAGCCCCTCTGAATACCAGGACAGGGAACTGGACCGGAGGCAGATGTTCAAGTGTCTCTGGTCTTGTTCACTGCGAGGGAAGGAGCAGCGTCTGCCGTGATGCTGCCTCTGTATGGGACTGTTGTGGTGAAGAGGGAGCTGAGTCTGGAGCAGGGGACGCCTGATCCAGCTGCAGGAGGTGTGCGTGAAGAGGGGAGTCTGGGCCACTCAGACGGCTGCCTCTGTGACCTGGCCCAGGATAAAGTGGAAGAAAATGGATTGATGTGTCCAGATGTGCCCAAAGCAACTGAGGGATGGAGAAAGCTTAACGGAAGACACACTGAAGAAATCCAAATGTGGTCATAATAAAAACCAACCAATGTCAGATTCAATACTTTCATTTCTTATTTCAGTCATAGTAAGTTTACAGCCACAGCCGCCCCACTGTAGCACCTGGTGTTCCCAGAGGTCTCCCATCACAGTACTAACCAGGTCCTGTCCTGTTTAGCTTAAAGCGTCGGACAGGATCTGTGTTCTCAGTGTTTAAAGTTTTTAAGAAATGATTTACGGATAAACAAGAATCTAATGCAGACGATGATCAAGATGGAAGTGGACTATTTAAAAGGATGATCATTTCTTAATATAGATAATTTATTGATACCCCATGAGAGAAATTCAGGTGTCCAGTAGCAGCAAAACCAAAAAATGAAATTGATCTCCACCTCTTATCAAATCTCCCCCTCTTATCAAAAAATCCTAGAACGTGCCGTCATCACCCAAGTCAACAATACCTCCACACCTTCAGTTTCTTTGAAATGTTCCAATCCAGTTTCCGTCCCCATCACAGCACCGAAACAGTCTTCTTAAAAATATCCAACGACCCTCTCCTTGGAGCCCTTCCCTTTCCATCCTCCTCCTCCTTGACCTCCTTGACACCATCGACCATTCCATCCTCCTCCTCCGTCTTCAATCTATTGGCATCTCCGACACCGTTCTATCCTGGTTTTCCTCTTACCTCTATGACCGGTTTCCATAAACAACTGTACATCTGTAAAGAAATGGTATGTTTTATTAGCCGTTTAATGAATGTGTGTAAGTCTAGACAACTTTTGGCTTGACCTACATTGGAGTGGGGAAATCTACCATTGAGGTTTTGAAACCAAGCTAACAATTATCCACATTGTCCACAATTGGGGTGTTTTGTGAAACTAACCCAACAAGTGGTTAATGTTTTACTTGTTGGGCTTTTCCATTGTGAGGGTGTGGGTTTTCTGTTCTGAGCCTGCAGAGCATCAAGCAGGACTTGGTTTTGGCTGTGTAGGACGCACAGGCCTCCTTGCCAGCCGTAGAAGCATCTCCTCCTTGTTACATGCAAGTAAAAAAACTAATACCTTGTCTGTTGTGTGCTTCTGTCCAGATAACTGTTGTAGAACCTCTTTTTAACAACATCCCAAACCTCCCCTGTCTCCACTGGTGTTCCCCAAGGTTCGGTACTCGGCTCACTCCTCTTCATCATCTACATGCTTCCCCTTGGACCACACACTGCATCTCTGACGTCAAATTCTGTATGGACCACAACTTTCTGAAACTTACCAGCAATAAAACTGAACTTCTCATCACCGGACCCAAGTCACTCCTTCCCTCTGCTCAAAACATCTCCCTCAACATTGACGACCACACAGTCACTCCCTCCCCCTCTGGCCGTTATTATGGACTCCACCCTCTCATTTAGACCCCACATTAACCTCATCTCCAAAATATCATTTTTCCACCTCCGCAACATTGCTTGCCTCCTCCCCTCCTTCTCTGAATCCACTGCTGAAATACTGGTTCATGCCTTCATCACCTCCAGACTGGACTATTGCAACAGCCTCCTCTTCGGTCTCCCCTCATCTCCAAAAACTATGGCACATCCAGAACTCCGCCGCCCGCCTGCTCCCCCGTACCCGCACCAGAGACCACATCACCCCTGTCCTCAAACAACTCCACTGGCTCCCTGTTCCATTTCGCATCCAATACAAAGTCCTCCTCCTCACCTACAACTCCCTCCATAACCTGCCCCCTCTTACCTCACTGACCTCCTCCATCATCACTGTCCCTCCCGCCGCCTCAGACCCACAGACTCCAGCCTCCTCACTCGCCTCAGGACTAAACACCAAACCTTGGGGGACTGAGCCTTCGCTGCAGCTGCCCCCACTCTCTGGAACTCACTCCCTCAACCCATCAGAAACTCAGACTCACTACAGAACTTTTAATCTCTTCTCAAAACCCACCTGTTTCAGCCTTTCCTTAATTTTCTTTCTCAATGTTTATTTTGTGTTTTGTAAAGCGTCTTTGAGTGTCCAAAAAAGCGCTATATAAATGTGATGTATTATTTTTATTATTATTATTATTGATCATTCAAAAACTCTAACAAATGTTATAATGAGCAACAGCCCTTCAGGTCACAGCAGCAGAGATGGAGTAGTCTCTGGGTGGAGCAGGACGGGTCACAGCAGCAGAGATGGAGTAGCCTCTGGGTGGAGCAGGACGGGTCACAGCAGCAGAGATGGAGTAGTCTCTGGGTGGAGCAGGACGGGTCACAGCAGCAGAGGTGGAGTAGTCTCTGGGTGGAGCAGGACGGGTCACAGCAGCAGAGATGGAGTAGTCTCTGGGTGGAGCAGGACGGGTCACAGCAGCAGAGGTGGAGTAGTCTCTGGGTGGAGCAGGACGGGTCACAGCAGCAGAGATGGAGTAGTCTCTGGGTGAAGCAGGACGGGTCACAGCAGCAGAGGTGGAGTAGCCTCTGGGTGGAGCAGGACGGGTCACAGCAGCAGAGGTGGAGTAGCCTCTGGGTGGAGCAGGACGGGTCACAGCAGCAGAGGTGGAGTAGCCTCTGGGTGGAGCAGGACGGGTCACAGCAGCAGAGGTGGAGTAGCCTCTGGGTGAAGCAGGACGGGTCACAGCAGCAGAGGTGGAGTAGTCTCTGGGTGGAGCAGGACGGGTCACAGCAGCAGAGGTGGAGTAGCCTCTGGGTGAAGCAGGACGGGTCACAGCAGCAGAGGTGGAGTAGCCTCTGGGTGGAGCAGGACGGGTCACAGCAGCAGAGGTGGAGTAGCCTCTGGGTGGAGCAGGACGGGTCACAGCAGCAGAGATGGAGTAGTCTCTGGTGGAGCAGGACGGGTCACAGCAGCAGAGGTGGAGTAGTCTCTGGGTGGAGCAGGACGGGTCACAGCAGCAGAGGTGGAGTAGCCAATATGAATTTCACATCTGTAGTGCACATCTATATAACAAATGCACAATGTCTCTTGAAATGAATGGATGGATTCAGATGCTAGACTTTGGCGCCCTCTATTGACTAAGGTTTACAATGACATTCTCCAAGATCAACCTTTTTTGTCCCTCAGTAGGGAATTTTCAATGTCATCTTTGCAGAAAAAAGAGCACTCAGGTTATGCACACATGGGCGGCGGTCACATGCACAGCCTAAAGCCCGGTTTAAGTGTGCCAGGGCCCGCTTCGTGATTAGATCCGGGCTTTAGGTGCCACCTGACCGTGGCATTCGGCTGCGCATGTGACCGCAGCCATAGATCCGTGTTCCCAGGCAGATGCGGGGGTCCATGGGGGGTCACGGTGGGGAGCGGGGGATGGGGTTCGACAGAGCGCGTCAGATTACGCCTTCCTCATGCGCCCAGTGTGACGGCACAAATGCGTCCACAACACTGTAAACACATTTGGACTTGTGGAACTGCAGAGAGAAGATGTCCAGCTTCAAGGGCTCTCGTTGGTCCGACCTGGAGACCGAGTGCTTGATAGAGATCTGGTCAGACACATCCATCCAGTACATGCTCGACAGAACCCACAAGAACACGGTGGTCTTCAAACAGATTAGCAAGTACCTGGCGGAGAGGGGCTTCAGCAGGTCTGTGGTCCAATGCAGGGACAAGTTAAAGAAGCTGAGGACCCGGTACCATCGCGTCCGCCGCCTGATGAGCAAGTCCGGCTCTTCCGCGGAGGAAAAGGAGAATTTTCCGTGGTATGAAGCTGTGGACGGGATACTGGGCACCAAGCCCACCACCCGGCCAAAAGTGTTGGAGTCCAATCGTCCTGTGCAGCTGATAAGTGGTGAGTATTAAACCCCAGATATCTATAAGAGTTTCCATTTACAAAACACACAAACTACATATCGAATGTGTTGTAAACTATCGTGGATAGATAGTTTTATGGCCCAGCAGGTGGACAACTGCAAGACTGTAGCAGACTCTGATTGTGTATCCATGTTATGACTATGATATGCTCTGAGTGTCTGTGTGTCTTTCAATGTGTGTCGTAACAATGACTATATAAATCATGCCCTGCCTTTGTTCTGTCTGAAAAAAACCTGAGAAAACTGGGACAACTGAGAACACTGCTCCGTCTGAATCAACTGCCATTTTTGAGGAATAAACAACCACGCTAGATGCACAAGATCCCTTTTTGGTCTGAGTTTGATTCTCATCAAAACATTGAATTGAACGAATCAAAGTAGGCCTTGGGGGTTGTTGCGTGGCCCCTGGCGCCTATGCTAATGCATGCCTTGATCCGAAGGAATGTACAGTTAGACCTGCTTCTGTTTCCACTACATGGAGGGGTGTTCACCATTGCAAGGATCCTAGAGACGTGCAATGTTGAGTTTCAGAGTTTTTTCATGTGCCTGCAAGGCTGGTGTTGTCAATCAAACAAAGGACAAATGCTTTTTTTTTTGTGTGCAGCCGAACAATCTCCAGAGACCGATACCAGCCTCATCGAAGAAAGGGCAGTTACACCCCTGGAGATGCCTGAACCAGCAGCAATGAGCACACCTGGTCCACGGCTTACGGCGACCAGCAGACCCGGTCTACAACCTACGGCGACCAGCACACCTCATGCTGCTGATATGTCTGGGTCAACTGAGACAGTAGCAGAGGTGAACGTCCCCAGCACCTCGTCGGCAAAGCTCGAGAGACTGTCCTTGGGGCACAAAAGGAAGAGGGTCCAGGAGCCTGCCTTTGAGGCCCACATGGAGACGCAAAGGATGCTTGCAGACTTTATGCAGGCAGAGGAGCGACGCCATGCTGAATGGATGCAGAGGGAAGAGCGCTTCCGACATGAAGACTCTAGCAGGGCAGACATGCGGCTCGAACGTATGATGCAGCATCAAACAAGTTTGATCCAGATGCTGCTTGCTGCACAAAACACCACCCCTCAGACAGTCACTTCCACTTCCAACGAGGGGGGAGCACCAGGAGAGTTTTGATAGACCGCATTTTCACAATATGTAAAGAGCCATCACTTTTGTAAATAGTTTGCTGTATTTTGTATGTTATACTATGTTTGCAATAATTGGAGATTTAAAAAAAAGTGTGCTGTGTGAATTAAAATATATTGTGCTTTGCGCTGCTGTCAGAATAAGTTTTATGGCTATTTCTCGTCTGTCTGCATGGTTCCACATGCTAGTTCTGTGTTTACCATTATGCTTGTCCACACACTGCACCTTTAATGTGTAACGATTTAAGCCTGTAACATATTTCTTATGAGATGTAGAAAGTCTCTAGTCACTGGCACTTGCATAACACCATTATTACATATTCTATTCATCTGATATTTCTCTTTGATAATTCACTTCTTTACCTGCTATTACTACTATTCTGTATTCTCGCCATATCAGCT